ATCCACTTGATAAAATTTGATTGAATAGTTTATTAATACAAGCTAATAGTAATGGGTTATAGCACTTAAACATTTCATTGATAATAGAATCAGGACCTGCTGATTTGCCACATTTAGTTTTTTTAATTGCAGTAATGATTTCATTGTTGGTAATTTAAAAAAATAAAAAAAAATGGCGGGGTTGTATCATACTCCGCTAACTGGTTACTTGTGTAAACAATCGCAAACTATCATAGACATCAAAGATGAGCTAAACAATGTCCTTATCAGGATTAATTTGGGTTGAAACAAAAGGAAATAAGCCAGTTAAGAGGCTTAAGTGGCTACTTGATAGGCGTCGTGGCTCCTTCCGTTAGTACCTTCCATGGTCATTCCAAAATGTTCTTATAAATTTTCTAATTAGGAAAATCATCATTTATTTAGAACACCCTGGATCCCCAAAATCCTTGAAGGGAAAGGAAGGCTCTCCAGCAACCAGAACAAATAATAAAAAATTCGTGATTTTTTGCCAGTCATTAAAATCTGAATATTTCATAAAATTCTCGACCAATGTAAAATTGTACGACTTAGCACAGCTTTAGTTTGGTATTTTTAAAGTATTTTAACATGAAAGAAAGAAATTGTCATTTGAATAAGGCTGACGAAGGAGGTCGCAAAATTACTGAAATGCATACATCTTCATAAACAATCCTGATCGCAGTTTTTTGTATTCCACATTACAATATCCCGTTTTTGATAATTTTTTAAACTGGTGAAACAACAAAAGCCTCTTTGAAAAAAAATTAAATTGAGGTTCATCTAGCCATTGTCTAAAATGCATTTTTCAGTTATTATTTCTGGCTAATAAAAAAATATTCATCTAATAAGCCGTCATTCTTCAGATCGTAAATGGAACACAATGTTCTCACTTTTTTGAATCACTTGGTATCACTTCATGTAACCAAATGGTTCAAATATTTTGTTCTTACTGCTTAGTTCTGTAGGTAATGCCATTGTTATGTGTCGGTACATTCTTTAATGTTCTTGGATGTGTAAATTTCGTTTTGACTATGTATATAGATATCATTTGGGTATTTTATCATTTTCACTTTACATGAACATAAGCTGAGACCATCAACTGTATATCCAATAGATGCGAGTACAGGCTTTGGCAATATTTATTCTGATTGCCTCTTAAACTTCATCTGCAAATCAAATGCAGGTGGCTCCATTTGTCTACCAATTATAACTTGCCTTACTAAATATCACAGGAAATGAACACGAAGTAGTCAAATGTAGATAGAGGCATAGTACACTGGTGGATTCTATCACTGAAATTTAGCAGTGTATTTGTCACATCCCCGTGGTTAAAACAGAATTACACACAAACCAGTAGTAAAACAGACATATTTTCAGTGGTTTTTAATCATTATCTATAAAACAATTCAAGCAATAGTTATAAGATGTTATGATTTCTTCTTTTGTATTTCAATATGATAATCTTTGATGTCTTCATTCGTTAGCTTTGTAGGTGCACCACTCATTAAGTCATTACCTTCCCACGATTTAGGGAATGCTATGACATCCCGGATTGACTGGGTGCCGCGTAGCATAGAGATGTATCTGTCAAATCCTGTAAATAAAATATCATCAATGTAGTTAGACTTCCGTTAATCATTTACCAGTCACCAATAGCAAACATTTGATTTGACAACAATAAATTATATTTACATTTTCACTACCAGTGGCTAAGACTAATGCATATCAACATGAAATATTCTAAGGAAATGGTCATCATTTAAAAACATAATCACTCACAGAGAGATAAATAATATTCAACATCAATAAGTAAACCCAGACAACATCTGAATTACTAAGCAAATTTACAATTTAGGGAGAGATACATAGAACTCTGAGAAATCAACCATGTGGTCATACCATGTGTTTCAAAAAGAGAGCACACTCTGCTCTGCAGTGGTACCCAACACATCTTCCTAGTAATAGAAGTCTCAGAACTGCTTGTGTGGTTGGGAGTAATATTAATCAACCATATAAAATCACAAGATGGTTGAGAAAAACAGAATGCCGATACTGAATGTCAATAAGCCAACTCTGACAGCATCAGAATCCGGAAAACACAAATGGAATAAACACAACATAAAACACAATTAATTTAGGGGGAGATACATGCACCTCCTGGAAACCAACCACATCAGAAAAACATATTGCCAGAAGACGCAACATGCAGGAACAACATAGAATAATTCATCGTAAAATACAAAATGTTGATGTGACACTGACATAATGGAAACATATGTCCTTCAAATGACCATACATGCATTTTTTTTATTTCAGTAATGAATACTGCTGTTCATAGCCAAAAAACCAAGAAAGTCTCTCACAAAAGTAGTTTACAATCTCATGTCATACCTATTGCAATGCCTCCATGTGTTGGTGCACCTGACTCTAATGCTTCCAGTAAATGATAAAGTGAACTGGAATCCTCCTAGCAAGAATAAAAAATAATGAGGAATACATCAAAAATAGTTTTGTACTAAATTGTAAACTACATAATAACCATGCATGTAGATCATACATTACATGTAGCATTGTTTTATTAAGACTATACTCATTCTAAATGTATATTGTACAATTGTGTATCGAGGATTGGGAACACGTATTTAATGTTTTCAGTCTAACTTAGTAGTTAGAGTGAAATATCAGGGACATGAATGTGTACTTCGCAATACAATAAAGTATTAAGTTTTTTTCTGCAGCGCACATGCATTTTATTGGAAATATTATACTGTTTTTTTTTTTTGGCAAAAGTTTTCAAACTTTCAGACTCTATTGCTCAAAACACTAAATTCCCAATCATGTCTTTGTAATCATAATATATAATTACACAATACCAATGGTATAAGATTAGGGTATGCAAATGTCAGAAGATAAAAAACACATAAATTGAAGAAGTCACATGAACTGTGATATGATCACCAAATGACAGGAAAAACTTACATTTCTGGAAATCCTAAAGCAAATCTTGTCTGTGTTCATTTCTGACGATATTTGATAGTTTCTGTGCATATTTATAAATAATAATCTCGCTCATTTCTGTTTTCACAATCAAACATTTCTAAGCACCCACTACTTACGTTGTTTGAATCAATATGCAGGGAAGAAGATCTCTATCAAACGCTTGAAAAGTGCAAGAGTTTTCTTCTTTCGAGATCTTCGTTGAACAACACTGTACATGGTTTGCATACCCTAATCTTATAAATCCTTGATAACAATATGATAGATTAATCAAAGTACCTTAAGAATCTCATCTAGTACATATTTCTGTAATTTTGCATCATGAATTCTAATAGAACCACCAGCTATCTCTGCTCCATTATACACAAGATCATAGTGAAGACTTCGTACCTATTAACAATGACCAAAGAAGTATTTACTTTGAAAAAAACGTTTAATGTGGTGTTAATTGTCACTTTGATTTCGATTGTTAAACAGTCTGTGGTGCAAATTCCGAAATAAAATGTTCTGCGCCATGAATCCATCATGAGTGATGTCAATACCAAGTTTGAAGGAATGTCTCAGAAGGGACTGATGACATGTTGAAAACATTATTTTTTGGCAACCAGTTGGTCAAATGTCAACCAATCGCAAGAGAAATTGACAGGCATATGTATACTATTGTATATTCCCACTACATCAACTATAACATTCAAAATCAACAAAGGCATGTCAGAGACATGACATTAGATGAATGTACAAAACCTGAAAATGGGAACTACTAAACCTTGTACATAACCACCAGATATAGTGTTCATACCAAGTTTGAGTGAAATCAAATCCACGCATTATAAACCATTTGAAAAATCTTAATTATGCAAATTATGTATTCAATATGCTAAGATTTAGAAACAAATTTCAGCGCCAGATAAACAAATCATTTATCATTGACAAAACCAGATTTTATTGAAATCTAACAAATACTCTCAAAAAAAACAGTTGTGACTACACAAGGAAAGAAGAAGAACAAACCAAATTAGTAGTTCCTTTTTCAAGAATTGCCTTAATATATCAGTTACTAACCTTGTCAGGTTTTGTGTAAATAAATTCTGCATCTTCTGGATGAGGTGCAGTAAAAGGGTGGTGCGCTGATTCCAGTTCTACTGTCTGAGATTCACACTTTCCATTCTCTTTTGGTAAAAACAATGGGAAATCTTCCACCCATACAAATGCATTGCTCCGGGTCTTTCTTACATTAACACCTGAAAAGGTAATTACATCCACAATTTTTTTAAACCCAAGCTTTGTATTAGGGGAAAAAATGTTTTCTGATTCTGAGATGTACTTGTTTTTTTCAACGACATTTGTATTATAGGCATAAGATAGACGACATGATGTCTGTACATGTACATGACATCGCTTTGACCTTGTAAATTAACATCGAAATTGTATCTCAGATATATAATGTTTGTGTGCGATATGAAAATAATGCACCACAGGCAATAAGATTGTCGAAAAGAGTGATTTTGCGGAGCACCTCGAACTGATGTTTCACGCTAGAGTGTCATTTGCACACTGAAAACTGGAAGCCATTATTCCTTTTATACCCGGAGCCACGGTTTAAACTTGATTGGTCCAGGCATATATGAAATATGGCTCCAGGGAGCTGCATTCATTTAAACAAGATGACCACCAGTCAGCCATTTTGGACAAAAATACATTTGTGTTTGTCTTATATAATGTATGAGTGAAGTTTGAACTTGATCTATTCACGAATATCGGAGATATAACCAAATCCAATAAAACAAAATGATATGCATCAAGATTCTATTATGTTAAACATATGTTTGAACAGAACCAGTCCAAGCATAACTGAGATCCAGTTGTGGTGAAAATAAGTGATTTTAATATATATTTTGTCTTAAAATGGCTGTTATGTGTAACATGCTGCTACTTTTAGGAATAACAATTTTGTTTAAAAACATGGTTCAATAATATGCATAAAAATGAAACTCTTAAGTACAGATAGTATAACACAAAATGTATCAGGACTTTCACTACTCACCCTTGGTCTCAAGTAAATCAGCAACTGCTATTCTCATATGTCCAAGTAGCAGACACTATAGAATACACGGAAACAATCATTTCAACAGCACTGTAAAACCATTTGTCAACTATTGTCATACTTTTATAGTCTGTTATTTGGATTACTGACAGGGAATTATAAGATTAGGGTATGCAACTTATACATCTTTGCAGGGTGATATGTGATGAAGGTCTTACATGAATCAAACACCATTAGAGTCAGTAGATGTTTGAAAAGATTCGACTAAGTAAACAGAAATGAACAAGATTATAGCAATATTCAAATAAATGCAAGACGCATACACATTTAACATACGTCGGGAATAAAGCAAGAGTACCAAAATAATACAGCATTTCCTAACATGATCACACACAGGCTCCTAGGGACGGCTGTGGTTGATCCGCAAAACCGAAAGTATCGGACAATGTGTATTAGTAAGCCTAGTAATGTATGTTTGTCATACAATGTTTGCAATCATCTTGTGATTCATGTGTTTGCTTCAATGAATATCTTCATCACATGTTACACCACCATTACACATCCTATAAATACTAATCTAACAATATGAGCAGCATGCAACCCAAGCCTGGATACTATGGAAGATACATATGTGTACCAATATGTCATACATAGTGAATCACTATTCATATCCTGCTTACTGTAAAATGACTAATTTTCCCTGGGTTTAAGTTTCGCTGATTTACCATTTCAGGCATATTCAGTGGGTTTTAAATTCACAGTTTTATCATTTAGATAATGTGTTCTATGCTAAATTTTACATATTCACTGGGTTTTAATTTAGCGCATTTTCTAGCCAGCGAAATAAAAACCCAGTGAATAATTAATCCTTTTACAGTATTTGAGTAAATGCACATACATATATATTATTACAAATAATAACTGCAGCCCATGCCAAAACTGTAGTATTTAACCCTTTGAATGCCATAATTATTCTCTCCACAATTTTGATGCTAAAGTTTTCAAATATTCAATATGTATTTTTCTGGAATTGCTTTGTTAAATTTGGACCAAATAGAAACTGTATATTTTTATGTAGTCTGCAATACAAAATTTTGTAAATGAAGACAAAAGTTGATTTCAGCACTCAAAGAGTTTAAAAACACTTAAACAAAAATGTTTATTTTAATCAAATTGACCACATAAAACAACAAAATATTTACAAAATTGTAATAAAACTTACTGTTGAGAGGTATTTCCCGGCAGCAAGAAGTATGACATCTCCTGGTTTCATGTGAAGCAGATCTCCAAGCCTATTTTTCATATCATCTTTCAAATATTTTGATATCGGTGACCGCCATGTTGTCTCGTCTTTAACTTGTATAAAAATAACTCCATGTTCAGATCTGGTTTTAGCCAGTTTTTGAAGATTTTCTAAATCTCTATTTGTTATATGTGTCTAAAAAAATTAAAATTGATTATGAAATTAAAAATACCTTATTTAATCTATTAGTAGTTACTTATATAAATTACAGAGGTGTGTCTATGGTCAAAATAAGTTATATTTTAATGTACACAAAAACAATGTTGATTTATGTATTTTTCGATTTGACGAAATACAATAAGAGTTAGTACCGATATACACATAACTATGAATTTTGTTACAAATGAATATTTATATATACAATTATACCATATTTACTCTTATAAGTGTGATAGAAGCGCATGTACATTTGCATGTACTCTTGAATGAAAGATTATAATATGACTTAATTTGAACATATACACACCGCTGTCATTTACATATGTTCATGTGCCACGATATGAGAAAATTGGGTATTTCTTCAAAAAGAAATTTTAATGATACCTACATGAGGTCTGATAGCAATGGCTTGTACAGTTCCCTCGGTAGATTTCAGGGCATCGTCAAAAATGGACAATCCGCTATTGATAAAAATATCACTGACATCATGAAGCTGGAAAGAAGATTAAATTATTATGAGGTTATTACGAAGATGCCGAAAAGTATGTGCGAAGACAGTACAGTGGGAGTATAGACCAATGTGCAGTGGAGGTTGATGCGACAGCGTACTGCTTGAGTGCATGCTTTGCGGTATCCTCGTAATAACCTTATTATTATACATCTTTTTCTCCCAAGAATACATCATGGGAATGGTGAAATCCAAAAAGTTAATAACAGATAGCGAACTTGTTTGTGTGGGGCGTGGTCAAACCCTGGGAGCAGCCATGTTTGTTTTTATTATTAGCGTAATCGCTCCATATTTGGAATACGCATTTTCCAACATGGTAGGATGAAAATATCCTATGAAATACCGTAAAATTACAACACGATGTAATAATTATTATTATTTATGCAATTATTAAATATTTAAACAATAATGCATTCCCCGGTGGTTCATAATGAACGAAAGCACACTTTGCACGACACAATGTTGGAGACGTAGTTGAGCACATTATGGAGTGCAAAGTGTCCTTGAGTAAAGTGTCCATTATAGCGAATAATCTGTTGCAATGACGTCATAAAATTCGCTGGTATTGACAATGCTATAATATAATATTAAATAATCTACATGTAGCAATATCTTAATTACAAAATACATTATGGGCATACAGTGAAACCAAAATCCTAGTTATTTATGACTGTATGAGGGCAATGTATCATATTTGCTCTTAATAGTAGAGCACATGGTGATGACATTACAGAGATTTTTCTGCACTACATATAAGCAATATTTTAATCTTTTAGTACACCTCAGATGTGACTTTTTGGTTTATATGCACTTCTATTGGAGGTGTGATAAGAATAAAGAAAATATGTTTAGTTCCGAATTCTGGGTTAGTAAATTGCTTTATGAGCATGATTCTTCAATTTGAAAAACAGTAATTGGGATTGGGTATCCAGTCTAGATATGGTACTTAATAACAAAGTAATAGTGGAAATGCGTTAGCATGATATATTATGGTACATTCAGTATCCAATCATGAATAAATAAATTAATATCACTGACCTTCATATCAAACCTTGTGTCTGGTTTGTCAGTTCCATACTGAATAATGATAAAAAAAGTAAATTGAATGAATGACTCACTCAATAAAATACTTAGAGGAACAAAACACATTTCAATCACATTTTTTGTCTCCATAAACTGCAATTTTCGAGACATAATACATGTACCAGGGTATATATAAGTCCAATGCCTGATGATAAACTTCAAATTATTGGTTTTATAAAAAAGATAGCATGGTCATTATTATTTTTTAATAAATATGGGTTACCTTGGCGATAGCATCAGCATAAGTCATCTTAGGGAAAGGCAGTGTGAGATTGGTTTTATTTGAAGGCCAGGAATACTCTATCATGCCTTCTACAAGACTGTATATGTTTTCTCGATTAACAAAAGACATTTCCAAGTCCACCTGAAAAAATAAACAAAATAATTTGAATAATCATAATCCAGCAATGTTAACGAGATTAGGACTCACCTGAGTGATTTCTGGTTGTCTATCTGCTCTAGCAATGTGAACCAGATTGGGACTCACCTGAGTGAATTCTGCTTGTCTATCTGGTCTAGCAATGTGAACCAGATTGGAACTCACCTGCGTGAATTCTGGTTGTCTATCTGGTCTAGCAATGTGAACCAGATTGGGACTCACCTGAGTGAATTCTGGTTGCCTATCTGGTCTAGCAATGTGAACTAGATTACGACTCACCTGAGTGAATTCTGGTTGTCTATCTGGTTTAGTTCCTTCATCCCTATAGCACCTGGCAAATTGGAAATAACGATCAAGTCCACCAACCATTAGTAGCTGTTTAAACTGAAATACAGAAAAAAGCCCCATGACATATGTGTAGGGAAATTATTAAAGAATAATATAAGGTTATTACGAGAATATCTCAAAGTATGCACAAAAACAGTACAGCTGAAGTATCGACCGATAATGTATAAGTATTACTTATACTTGCTTTCACAATTATTCTTAATTATCCTCAGATAAATCAAAATAAATTGTAATCCTAAGACCACACTGAATTACAGTACATCTCACATATCAGAAGTCTGTTCCAGCCATACTGAATCACATCTCAAATGACCCAGGTCTGGACAAGCCATACTGAATCACACCTCATATAGCAAAGGTCTGGTCTAGTTACACTGGATCACATGTCAAATGACCGAGGTCTGGGCAAGCCACACTGGATCACACCTCAAATGACAAAGGTCCGGGCAAGTCGTAGTGGTCTGGTCCTGATTTATTGCAATGCCAATTGTTGTATGATATCAATAGAGCTGAAGTATCACGAGTTCAATGAAGAATAGAATTGACACTGACAGTATCAACAAACATTGTTGACTTTTAGAAAGCTTTGTCATGAAATAGAATATATGAATAAAAAGAAACTTTGAATATAAATTAATAAATAACCAAATCAATGTATGAAACATAAATTACTCTCTTTCAAAAAATATTTCTGTGGTAATGTCAAATTTGAACTAAAATGTTGACTCAATAGATACTTCTGTTCACTTCGATTCGTAGTTAGTCATTCAGTTGAGTAGGCAACCAATTACCTGTTGAGGACTTTGGGGTAAACAATAAAACCGTTCTGGATGTCTTGTAGGAATTACAAATTCTTGAGAGCCACCTGGTGTTTGTTTAAACATTGTCGGTGTTTCCACTTCAACAAAACCTGAGAGAAAATAAAAATTATATTGCGTTAACTGCATAATTGGGAGGGATTGCGTAGAGATAAAACAAGCCATGTATGGCACAGTCCCTGTTAGTTATCAAACTTAAGATATATACCGAAGCTGATGCTTGATTATGATGATTTTTAATATTAAAATGGTTGACATTCAGTCATTTTGTATTTGATCATCATCTCCATATTGAGAGATATTGCTATGAAAAAGCATTAATAAAAACAAAATGGCCATCAGTTGACATGATGTATAATGAATATATAAAGTTTGAGAATAATCAGTCAAAGCATGTCAGAGATATGGCCTTTGAACCGTATTAATTAAAACAAAATAGCCATCAGTCAGCCATTTTAAATCCAATCTGGAAAACAAAATGGCGTGCATCAAGGACCAATAATGTCTAAAGTATGTACCAAATTTGAACAAAATCCATCTGTAAACAGCCAAAATCCAGTTCCAGAATGCCAGAAATGCTTGATTTCAGATTTTCGGTCTGCGTCGGAACAGGGACTAAGAAAAAAAGATATTTTTCAGCCCCTCAGACTGCTGCACAGCATTGAATTTCTCATTAGTTAATAATTTTCTCAATATTAGTTATTACCACCCGAAAAGGAGAATTTGTGCCAGAGTGGGCAAGAGATCATTTAAACATCAAAAGGACAGCAAAGTCTCCAAGTCATGCTGTTAAATTTGTATTAAATACCTAAAATCTGATGAACAATGTGCTGTTTATGATATTGGTCACATGGTCAGTGGGCGAGTGCTATGCTGATTGGAGAACAGTTATGGCAACCGAAAATTTGAATTTTTCAAACAATACTGGGGTAAACATTTCCCCTCATATGCTATAGAAACTGATAGTTGTCACAATGACTAATGTTCAATCACCCCAATTGTTCATGATGTTAACATAGTCAATCAGCAGCAAATCCCGAACCATATAGAAAAATGGAGTCACCACCGCAATGATAGTCTGGTTTTCCGTGGCTATTGTGTTGTTGACTTACCATGATGATTGCATAAGAATTCTCTCATTTTCATCGCAATTCGTGAACGTAGTCGTAAATTTTCTTGCATTTTACTGGTTCTGATATCTAAATACCTGTACTGCATGCGCAGACTTTCTTTCACCTGCAATCAAGGTAAAAGCTTTATTTCATGCTCACAGAAACCTTGTGTAACATTTGTTGCGTGGGACCCATATTGAACATGGATATGGTCTGTGGCATTATAACTGGTTGAATGCCACCATTTTTTCCAGTAAAATTTAGTTTTTCTATTTTTAATCAATTGGACATGATTATATGTTGTAAAAAAAAAAATGGAGAAAAATAGAGCAGGATTTAAATTTGTGAGTGGCAACCCAAATTTAACAAAATGAATAAGCCCTACAATTACTGTACCAAAATTCTTCACTCCTGGTACTACTAGTAGATGAACAAAATGGTGGACAGCGCCTCCAAGTGACACAATTTAACAATAATTTATTTTTCAAAAATTTGTTGCAACAATTTGTCAGAAATCAAAAGTAGATGTACAAGTTGAGCCTATAACAAAAACTGGTTTTAAGGCTTACAATACTGAAATGATTTTCCATCAGATACAGGTATTCTTGTGATGGCGCCCTCATCAACAATATGTGAATTACTTCCTCCAACATAGACAATTTTTGCAATACAATGTTTTAATTTACCAATCTGCATACAAAGGAATACTATTTTCATATTTTATTTTTTAAAGGAAATTTCTTTTACCTTAGCATGGTCTTTAGGTTGGAATGGAAGTTTGTCTTTACATTCACTTATAAGTTCAATATCTTCTGCCAATACTTCAATTTCACCTGTCAGCATCTCCTGTAATTAAAAACAAAACAAAACAAAAATGTATCCCTTTCTGTTCTTTAATAATCCATGAAATATGTTACCATGGAAACAGGGCAGTCACTCTAATATGCAGAATTCATAAAATTTCTGTCTTCAATTCAATAGAGTTACAAATTAAGTACAAACTATTTTTTATTACACTGATATTCCTGTACTTTTATTTTTCCCATCAAGTACATGGATATATGGGATTTTCTATTATAAATATATATCTTTTTTAGTATTTGTCCCTGTAAAATATTGTCAATGTCATGGGTATTGTAGAGTTTTGTTTACAGTAAAATATATTAAAAGTACTTGAAACATAAAAAGCAAGATGGCCGCTGAGAGCTGATAAGGTTAATGACCTAGTCGTAAAGAGGAAGTCTGGGCAAGCAACATAATAATCCCAAATGAAAGAGATCTACAAATATAGATGAATGCAATCTACATTTTTTCAAGATGGTGGAGTGCATACATTTAATACTGATAAAAAGTTGAATATCTAAAGAATGAAAAGTATAATAAAACTGTAAATTGCCTTCTCCTATATTTGTGGAGCTCTTCTATCTGAAAGCGTTATGTTGTTTTACCAGACTTCTCCTTTTACGAATGATTCAAACACGTTTAAAGGAGGACTTTGAAATACCTTGTTTATCTGCTCATTTTGTCTTGGTTGAACTTTTCCGGTAATTTTAATGACAGACTCTGATCTGATCTTGGACAATACTGATGAGATACAATTCTGAAAAAGATATAGAATTATTAAACTAATCATTATCAATACAATATTAATGATACAGTGACAAATAACCGTATGGAACCCTATACAGGGTTGCCATTTAATTGGAGTTTAATTAAACTCAACAATTAAAATGCAGCTCAACATAGAATTGTGTTTTAATATAATTGGGGTTTAATTAAATAAATTGCAACAAAATGGTAACAATGTCATACAAATTGCATTACTAACCTTAAGCAATGCAAAATTTAGTTTAAACGCTACAGTCGTTGCACTGCGTCTTGTTCGATATGGGACCCATATCGGTGTATCAGTGTATGCGCCATGTGGCGACTGTAGTGCTTTAAGTTGAATTAAATATTATTTATGGAAATATGTTTACTTAGTGGCTCTACGTATTTGAGCCACTAAGGAATTAACGAATTCACTAAATGTATTCATATTTTGGATATACATGTAAAGCAAGTAATTCAAGTTCTCACACACACACACACATGTGTATATACTGACAGAGTAATTGCAAAGCCTCCCCTCATGTATTTCACATAGAGAAGTCAATAAAAGGCTGAGAATGAATGAACAACTGAAAAATATTGGAATTTGGTCTGAGCAAATTACCGGTATATGTAGATATCACCAAATAATATACAGTAAAATACATATTTAATTAATTAATTGTCGCTGAAAAGTCTTTTTGGGTGTTTTGTAATGTAATTTATTTCCACTGATTTTTGACAAGTTGACTGTAAAATATAGAAAAAAAAGCTATATTCGCTAGATTTTATTTTCACTGAATTATTCCTTCAGTAAAAATTAATTCCAAGTGAAAATAAACTATTTTACAGTCAATGAAGTGTTAAACTACAAGAAAAGAAAAAGTGTACCTATTTTTTTCATTTGAAATGGAGAATGCTCTGATAAATTTCAATAAATAGTTACTATACAAGTCTAAATCTAGCGGCCTTTTTGTAATTGCAAAATAGAGAAAATATCTAGACTGCATGTAAATTAAGGCAACAATGTATCAATTCAGTATTTGTTCAGAAACATTAATTTATTGATTGCATGTAGTCAGTTTTCAATCATACTCTAAATACTTTAATTTGTTATAAATAATGCGTTAACTTAAATGCATAGATAAATCATGTATGTGTTACCTAGGCAACTAATGCTGAAAATTGGGTTCTGGGTTTATACATGAAATCTCAGAATACTGATAGAGTAATACAAGTAGATACACAGAAATATGATATTGTGATGCAAGAGATATTTAATAAATTATTAGTAATTAAAGGATAATTGATAGAATTAACTCATGGATATTATTATAAATATTCTCGAACAGCTTGAACCTAGAATCCTGCAATCTTACAAGATATTTCAAAATTGCAAATAGGGATCAAATGATCACAATTCCGAATTTAGAGTGATTCTTGCATAGTGTCTGTCAAGAATTATTGATTAACACATGGCCTTCTGTTGTGAGTTTTTCTGTTTTTCTATTTGCAGAGGGTTTTAGCAGATTATGTGTTAACCAAGTGACAAGAAAACACATGCCAATTCAAGCGGTGCTGAGTGACCATACCTGTGTATTTGCTGCAACGATTTGTGTTATACCGTAAGCATCCTTCAACGTCAGCATAAAATCAAATCTTTTGTATTGCACCCATCCATATAACGTTACTGGTTCTCCAATGTGTGAGGCTCTCAACTCTCCGCAGGTATGGCTACGTTGACAGAAACTGTTACAAGCTGCATTAAAGAAGATATTGCTCATTTGCAGTGAAGAAAATTGACTAAATGGAACACATGTTTTATTAAGGTCTTCCACAGGCCAATATATATCATTAACCCAACTATTGTTAAGATCCATAGCAAACTCAAGTGCATGGAATCATTATTTCCAGTTGGGCACAGGTTCAAATTCCATTCACTGAAACAACACATGCATTGTAAATCTCACAAAACACAATGTAGCGACTATATCTTTTGAATTTACTCTAATCTATCATTACCGGTACTCATACTATCGACATTTTAAAGAATATAATTAAAAAAACAACTTCAACAAATTTTTCAGAAATTTATAGGATTTCATTGAAATTCCACCCAGGAGCAAATATTACATATTACTGTCATAAGGATGTTTTAAATAAGTGAAATAAAATGAATCCTAGATTTTCGGTTGTGAATAGAAATAAAAAAGTGATTATTTAAATGGAAATTAACAGTATATGGTCTTTATTTATTTCAGAATGCTAAGTTTGGATATCATGATGGTTTAAAAATGGCTTATGGTTGAAGCATTTTTTCATATGCAAATAAAAGACCCTGTTTGACAGTTTAAATGTGGAAAAGGTGGATATGGTAAGTTATAATATGTATGAATCTGTGAGTTGGAAGAATATCACTATTACGTGTTCAAGCCCTGATAAATATATTCAAGTCTCTGATCATCACATGTCAGTTGAAAAAATTGTACACCTCAACTTTTTTATGTATTTTTTGTATTAATGTTTTATAAAAATTGAAACAAAAAATCACTTTTCAAGAAAAATCAAAACCCAATTTGAATGAGCATGAATGTTTTTTTAGATAAAATATTAATAAACATTTTACTACCAGGAGTATTAATTTCATTTTTGAAAATAACTACCGGTATCATTATTGAATGCATTGTACATGTACATAAATGAATTAAATCATTCAAGCCAATGATCAATAAATTAACCTGCAAAGATTAACTGGTGAGGGACATTACCAAATGACTTTCAACTTGAATATATATTTAAATGACAGTAAATGTTTTAGAAATACTTTATAAATCTACATAAAAAAACATTCATGACTTTGTGAAATTCACTGTATATATATTTATCTTTAATTACTATTTATTTATTATTTTTATTCTTCTACTGAGAATTTTATGAAAGCATAAAAATTATAAAAGATTGTTGCGCTTTCTTAAATCCAAAGAAGATGCTTCCATTGGTATGGAAGCAATAGAGATAAAACTAGCTGTGATTGGTTGAGTTGTTTTCTATTGTCATTTGAAATTTATAAAACATTTATCAATATTTTATATATAACAATGCCTTCATGAAATTCACAGTAGTCTAAACTTATTTTTTTTCAAATTTATCATTATTTATATGTTTCAATAGCAGTTGAATATAACCAGCCAATCAATGAGCGCACAATATGCAATGTCATTTCTTCATACATGTAGATGTCTTAGGTACCAAACAGGAAGACAAAATTTATTTAATAATATTATTCCAGAAGAATTAAAAAGTGATATCCAGATAAGACGAGTTAGTGAATACTTACACAAAATATTTAAAATCAGATGATAATAATAATAATAACTGACATTTTACTTTAGTTTTATATGCATTGTATTTTATTACTAACATTTTATTGCTGTCAACCAATGGAAATTATATCTAAGGATGCAATAAATTTATTATTATTATTTGAAAATGTTCCAATGGTTTTTTTCCCTATTGCCGAATATAAACTTCTTGTTTCAGTTGGAATTGTTAAAGCTGGGGTGTTGTCACCTGCGCGTGAAGCAAATGTCCATAGCGTGTCATTGTTTACAAACAAGCTTCTGCCCGTGAGCCTTTGCGTTTTTATAATGTGTTGTTATCGTCGCTTGGGACTCAATTCCCGCGCGTGCGCAGGTGACGACCCTCCCGCTTTAAGTTTATAAATATGTATGAAAATGGATGGAATGGGTTAGTTTTGTCGAGAGTAATTGTAAAACTGTTGTTGGTATTTTGAAATCAGGCAATGATGAAGGTAACAAAATTATAATATTTATTTTAATTTAATTTAAAAAAAA